CTAAGAAAACGAGCCGAACACGAACACACTTTTTGAGCTCAAAATATAAACGAGTCGAACACGAGCTGAGTCTGGGCTCGCTCATGTTCGGCTCGTTTACACCCCTACTCATGGAAGTCAATCAACTCAGAAGTAGATAATCAATAAAGGCATTGATGATGGAAGCGGTATAAGTTTTAAAGGAAAAGTAGCCTCATATTGTTTATCATAAGAGATCCATAAGAAAACTATTCCATGAAACATACTAGCTATAGCTACTTCAGTTGGAAAAACAGAACGGTTACCTTTCTGGCCACCATAATGGGGTGCAGTGTCCCAAAACTCTTCTCGCATCCTTCTAAGATCACTCATGGTTAATGGCTGAGGATTCTTCCAAGGCTTTGGCTTTTGAATCTTCTTCGTATTCTCTGTAAGAAAATTAAACAAAAAAACTTCTGCAATACTAGACCAAATGCCAATACCAGTACAGCATGATAGCACAGTAAATACAACATAAAGTGCGTGAAATGGAAGACTGTTAACAAATCAATCCCAAAGCATATCAAATATATAAAACATAGAAGATTACATGCCCGGAAACAAACAGAAGGCAGGAACTCAAAACGACCAAATAAGGAATTTGGTTATGCACAAAATGGTCAACTCCTATAAATCACAGTTTTGCGGTAACACCGCTGATGAGCTTTCCGGTTAAGTAGTAAGTGATACTTCCAGATGGAAAAAACCTTAAGGACATAATGTAAAGGGAAAATTTAAACTTCAATTTAGAAAATAAAATAGAAGCCTCCATATTCTATTCGTTCCACTAAGTCACTCTCAAAGGCATTGCATGAAAAAAAAAAAAAAGATAGTTTCTTCGGCTGAGTTTACAAATGAATAGATTTCTTTTCATCTCAAAGGCATTGCATGAAAAAAAAGATAGTTTCTTCGTCTGAGTTTACAAATGAATAGATTTCTTCTCAATATAAAAATGACCAAATATCTTCTAACCTAACAGAGGAAAAACATACGGATCCAAAAGTTCTATTTAAGAATGCTGACAAATCCACTAGGCGTCCTACAAACTGGCTCATTGCATATTCTGCGAAGAAATACTAAACAAATTTTACCCCAAAAAAAATTATCATCTGAACCTAGTGACGGCAGAATTTAGTCAGCGACGCTATGAGGCTGTTAAGGATTACTTTTACTTTTTGTTTTTCATTTTTTATTTTATTTTTATTTTGTTTATATTTTGATTTAAAATAATATATATTTGGTTAAGGTAGTGATGTTTAAAATCATTTAAACATCTTTTAGGTATTTTGAGTATTTTTAAAATCGCTTGCTTTTAAAAACAAAAACTAAACATACATAAAAATTATGACAATCAAGCATGTTTTTAAAAATCAAAAGAAAAGGTAAAAACAAAAGCAAGAAGCGAAAAATAAAGCCAAACGGGTCCTAAATCTTTACATACATTTCTTCTTTCACCTTCTTCACTGCCAAAGTGCCCAAGGTGGTAAATCATATTTAATTCCTAAAGCCCATACGGAGGCATCTACAATTGGGACGCGCATCTTGGCATGAATTCCTTTAAAATGGAGAACCTGCTGGTTTTTAAATTTTAAAATTTCACACAGCGTCAAAAGATCAATTATGGTCATTTCACAACTGGATACATTGCATAAACCATCTTCCGTTTGTTCATCATTAGTTTCTAAAATCAGCAAAATCTAAGGCTTTCACCATCCTAATACGGCAGTGAAGTCTTCAAACAATTCAAACAAAAGAAATCCATCAGGGGAGCAAGTGTAAGTCTTATTCATTTGAGAAAGTAGGTTTGTAAACCAGCATTTTGGTCGCCTGTACAATAACTTTCCCCGACTGAAGAAGATATCTTCGCAAAAGTTTCAAGTTCAATTTGTTGGTTTTTAGAAAACAGTAATTAAAGCTGTAAATACTAACTGTGCCCTTCTAACATATCTAGTGAAATTGGAAAGGCCTCTTCACCGGTCTTGCCATTCAGAAGGTTGGAAAAGCCTCCAACACCAAAACCAAAATAAACATGTCGTACTTTTCTTATTTCATTGACGTCTTAGATAGGAAGCTCTCTTAGCAAAGAATTAACATAATTAATCTATGAATGAAATTGATACGAACAAAGATGATTTTCCATAAAAATTAGGACAAACAAATATTTTCTTCAACAACACAAAATAACATAATCCAAATACATAAAGATAAGCACCTACAATTTGAGAGGCATACAATCTCTCCCAAACCCTAACCCTAGCACCTACAATTCAAGAGGTAGGTGGTCTCTCCCAAACCCTAAACCTAAGAGTCAAGCTTATGATCTCATGCATAACCTAACCTTAAGCATATTAAACACTATTTATACTCCACAATAATAACTAATAAAAGACTAAATTGCCCTTAGGTGCACAAAAGACTAAATTGACCTTAGGCGCTGGTGTAATAATACTCCCCTCCAAATCGTTTGGCTTCCACGTGGTGTTCTCATCTGGCAATCCATTTCATTTAATCATAAATTCATAGTGTGACCCTCATGAGTTCAAAATGCAGCCTTAGGCACATCTTTCAGCCACATTCAAGCATGTCGATACCCTGACTTAAAATCAAACTTGGAGAAGATGAGTGCTCCAAAAAGCTCATATAATAGCTCATCAATCAAAAAAATATGAAACTTGTCCAATTTAGTTTCTTTGTTCAAAGCCCCATAGTCCACGCAAAACCTCCAGCTACCACTCTTCTTCTTCAGTAATAAGATTGGACAGGTAAAAGGCTCGTATTATGACCGATAATCTCTAACTTGAGCATCTGCCTGATTAACCTTTCTATATCATCATTCTAAATCAGGGGACACCATAATGGTTTGACACTGATAGGAGGAACCCCTTCCTTCAATGTAATGGCATATTTGTGCTCCCTCTATGGCGGTAACTCTCTAAGCTGCTAAAATACGTCAGAAAAACTGTTGCAGAAGTTTTTGAACGTATTCAGGGAACTCTATTGACTTTGGATCTCGGATTTCCTCTAGACTCTATAACTCCAACCAATAGCCAATCCTGCTCCCCGTATCGTCTTGGCCATGGTTCTGCATAAGCTAACATTCCCTCTAAGCACCAATTTCCTCCCCTTCACCCGATCCCCATAGTCAGAGATTTCAAATCCACCCTCGCCTCTTTGATCATCTGCAACCCTTCATCACCAACATCACAACAGTACTTCCCAAATCCAAGAGAAGAAAGTCCACCACCTGTATATCTTATAGAGTCATCGCAAATCCACTGTAAATTCCCTGACTTTTCTCCACCTTCCTTGTCCTCATCATGACCTCAAACTCCTAGTATCTACCAACTTCAACCCCAATTGATCCAAGATCTACTTTGAGATGAAATTGTGAGTGGCATCACTATCCATCAACACCACTATAGGTTGCTCCCCAATCTGTCCCCTCATGGTATGATTTGGAGTAAATTTTACCACTGAGTTGATGAAGACCTTCGCCACATCTACATGTAAGTGCTCCTCTCCCTAACTGCTTCTTCCTCCAACTCCTTACTATCCACCTCCTCCCAATCAAAAACTGCAAGGATGTGGAGCATGTGATCCTTGCACCGGTGGTTTGGTGCACACTTCTCATCATATCAGAAACATAATCACTTTGCCTTTTTGTCAAGCACTTTGATCTGTAAGGCGCTTGAAATTGAACCCTGGATGGGCCCTCATATTCCTCCCCTTAGTGTCACACCCCGCCATTAGCAAAATCAACATGAGATGGAATACTCTAGAAGAGGCTAGATGGAGAGAAGCATTCTAAAAGATTCTACCCCATTCTAGAGAATGGAGGCCCCAAGAATAACCTAAAAGGATCTAGAATATGTATGTACATAAGAATGGTGTAGAACTGTCTAGAAGCTAGAATATTATAATGTAATTTAGAAGCTTCCATTGGACTTGGAAGAGGCTATAAATAAGAGTCCCTCCTTTCATCCCAATCCATCAAAAGTTTCAAGCATTCAAGCTTTGTAATCTCTCTTTTCTTAGTGAAGCATTTTCTCCTCCAATACTTTTCCCTATTCTTCTTTTGAGTGTTTTGTGTTCTAGTGTTACGAAGGTTAGGCTGATTTAGTGCTAAGGATGAGCGCTAAAGCCGCACGGGTGACTTGAAAAAAGTTTGACCGTGACATTAGGATCCTCCCCCTGAAATGACACTACTCAAGTTCTCAATGTCATGGCCGTCCAGATACCCCTGTGGAATCACCCCATGTTGTTTCTTCTACTAGCCCTCTCCATCTGGTTCTTGCCTTTCACCATCTGCGTTAGTTCCATTGTTTCTCTCAATCCTCGCGGTCTCAACAGTCGGATGGTTGCACATATGTCAAGCTTTAGACCCGTTATGAAATTTTCCTCCAATACCGCTTTAGAAATGCCCCTCAACCGTCATGACAATTGCTCGAATCTCTTTGTATGTTCCAAGACAGTCCCCTCCTGGGTTAAGACAAAGAATTACTCGAGTAGGTCTCCTTCCCAAATGGCTCGGAAATGTTCCAACGAGCAATTCTTAAATTCCTCCCACGGAATATCTAGTCTCCCTCTATTGAAAACATGACAGGGCTCTCCCCTCCAAACTAATCCTTGTTGACCTCAATTTTCGTGAGGTCTAGTATTTCTCGTAGGAATTAGGATCTAGCCTTAGGGGTCTTCCTGCGACTATCTTAGCACCTTAGAAGTGGTGCCCGCCTCGTTTTAGTTCGACCGATTTTCGTCCTATTTTGGAGTTTCGCGTGTGCGGTATCAACTTCTAACACTTAGAAGGATGAAACCGACATGAGAAAACCCAAAATGGATTCCTATAGGATTTTTCCTACTCCCGCGTGCACAAGCTTCGCAATTCGGAGAGTCGACGCGTCTGATCGCCGCAATTCGCATTGTCTGCACTGTTACCTGTCGAATGCTCAAGTAAACCTTTTGGGACGATCGATCGCGGATCGAAATTTTGTGAAATTTGAATTTTGACGCGTTTTTTGACCCGATTGTCGACGACGTCGCCCGAGCGACCCCGGATGCCGAAAAAGACAGCGTCC